GATTGCTAATTTTAGATTGCATTCGCCCGATGTTATATAGATGATAATTACACGAGTCAATTAGTAAAGAGGTGTCCAGGCCTATGTTTCTCCAACAGGGGGGGCGTTCCAAAACACTTTGGACTACCCCTGTAAAGGAATTAAACCCCAGCACGAGGTGTAAGGGTGCACTTATGACTCCTCAGTTCCACGATGATAGAATTATCGAATGGAAATTACACGCCACCAAGAACATGGAGGCGTAGTCTTGTGACATGATTATTGGTCGAGACATTCTCTCCTATTTAGGATTTAAGTTCGATTTTCACTACCATGTCAGTGAAGTGAATAGCACATCTTTCCCTATGAAAGATGGCAATACCAACGAAGAAAGAAACTTCTTCATCCCTGATCCTACAGCTGTCACCGACAGTGCAGATCCTTTCAAGAGGGACTCTTGACGAGAAATACGAACGGCCTGACTTAAGGCAGATACGCCAGAGTCAAAACCAGTTAAATAAGGAAGAGCAGGAACAGATCCATGCCTTATTGACCAAGTGCTACGACCAATTCGAATTTTTTACTTTAGGGAAGCGACCAAATGGGCCAACTACGAAGTACGAACTTTCGTCCTGAATCGCTAAAACCCTATCACCGTAGGGCTTACCCTACTCCACGTGTCAAAACCAACACTCTTAAGATGGTGGTTGAACGTCTCTGCGACTCAGGAGCACTTAAGAAGGGTAAAACCCGTTCGAATTGGACAGGGCACCAAAAACCACTTATATCATTCCCCAAAAAAAGAATGGATCATATATGGTTCATCTCTGATCGGGAAATAAGATTCTTCAAGGCGCATAGTCACTCTCCACAAAGATTGGAAGCAAAAAACTTCGTCCCGGATCCAAGGGATACGAAGACAAGGCTACGAATCTAGACGATCATGACGCAGGAAACTACGAGTCGACCAGGAGTACCCGGATGGGCTTATGAAATAGTCCCGACATCTTCCAAAGGAAGATGAAAGCACGACGCATGCATGACTTAGGATATGTCCGTGCATACATTTGATGATCTACTCATCCAAACTAACGGCGATCACGTGGATTCACGGTTGAAAAGTTGGATGAAGTTTTCCGAAGGCTTCGAGAAGCGGGACTTAAGATCAATGCTACCAAGTCCTTATTCGAAAGAAGAGAACTTTGAATATCTAAGCTACTGGATTACTTGAGAAGGGATCCAACCCGTAACCAAGGAAATAGATGCGATCCAGAATTTCGCTCCCAATACGGACAGGAAGAAACTTGGTAGAATCATTGGACTAGAGAACTAATATCGAGACATATGGATGATCCCAATGTGAATAACACACTCGGGTATCCAAGAAAAAGGAATCCCTGTCCATTACATTGCTTGACAATGATTAATCACGTAACCGGATGGTCGAAGAATTGCCGAAGATTTCTGCTTCCAACTGCAGGCAGACGGAAGGTAATGCCCATCGTCCTACGAAACATCAACGTGGCTTCCACCGCCAGAGCCAATGCGAGTTCCTTCTGAGGTTATCATTGATAGAGAACGTGAGTTCCGCGCAGAAGTGGAGAAGACTCTCCGGGATGAACTTGAACTTCGTCGCAAGTTCCTCACCACACGTGTTCAATAGTTTGAACGCGATTTCACACAGACGGTCCGCTTCGAAAACGTAATAACTGGGAAAACCAACCATCAAAATGAGACGTCGCCACGACTCATCCAGAAAAAAAATGATAGGGAAAACGTGACGCGTGTCCATCATCAAAACAATGTCAACGATTACTGTTTGAGCCGCTTTCAACGCGAGTATCAGCAACCGCAAAGACGGTACGCCAAAGTACAAAGGCCCTTACAATATAGACCGAGTCAATAACATGGCACTGTACGGCTCAAAAATGCTACCGCCAACGGCCTCACAGTCTACCAGGATGGAACATAAGGTATTTACACCAATACAAGGCCTGGTCCCCTTTTAGGATTGCCTTCGTGCGATGCACATGTCTACTTCCAAATCTCATCAGAGTGCCCCGCACCTTAAATCATATGTTCTACTTATCCGACTGATGTCGTGCCTTTCTGTGGACCCTTGTTACCAGGGCGAAATGCAAACCACGGCTCTTAGCCTTATTCGCGAACCGATCCTAGATAGGGATTGAGATCGACTCATGACATAGTCCTTCCAACGGAATAGTCATTTGTGACAGGGTTCTCATTGACTGCTCAGTATACTTAGCGGTTGTCGATGGAACATCGCTCTGTATATTTAGCCGGCGTGGACAGCTTCCACCCGCTACTAGATAGCAACTAGCTGAAGTTTCCACGTTGTCCGGAAATGGACCGTGGAATACGTAGAGTTATTACCATAACCTACGATATACCACTTCGAGGCCTCCCGCGCGAGACCAACTTCAATGAGCTTCACAACACTCTCTCTCCTCCACGCGCATTAGTTTTTTTAGCTTTCTAATCTCTCTATTAACTTTCATTCTCTCAAAATCAAAAAACTCGAAAGATCATTAAACTAGCTTTTAGCGGAGTGGGCAATGCAGTTCTTCCAGCCCCAACGATCCAATTCCTAGACCACCAAAGCTTAAGCGCCTTGACCAGCACCAAGCCCAATCCGCGCACGCGATGCCAAAGAGAAAAGCGCAAAACGTGCGGATGGAGCTCCCTGAGATCCGCGGTCGAGGAAATTTTGTGTATCATCCGCTGGGATTCCATTAACCGCATACGTTAAAGAAGCAGACTCCTGAAGTAATGAAAGGATAGTTGACCAGATACAGCCTCAGTAGCACTAGTTTCCCCACAGTTGAAGCCTTCCTGTGTGGATTGTGCCAAGGCAAAGAGTAAGTTGTTCAATCATTGCTGTGGAGATTGAATAACAGTGGCAGCCAGCTTTGTGGCTGGCCCATTCTCAAGTGCCAGAGGAGCCAGACCTCCAAGCAGAGCTCTCCACTCCCAGCTCCTTGTGCATCTACCCTGACTGAATCTCATCGGATTAACATTGCCGCAGATTGCAAGCACAGGAGTGGCTAACAGGAGTGTGGAAATCGTCGTGAAAACGAAGGAGGATCGAGTTGTCGCGACCGACTGCCGACAGACCCATCGACCGAAAACTGGAATCACGACCGATTCGAGCGGAACCAAGTTGTCCACCCACTAACCTGGACCTGCTCTGCAAGCCGGTGTTATCACCTACCTGTCGAGTGCCTTGGTTACGGCTGCACCGACAGCGGAAAGAGTGGAAGATCATCCAACAAGAAATCCCGAACAAAATCTGCCGATCGACCTAACTCGACCAATATCGGAGCGGTAGGAGCGAAACCAAGTGTTCTACCTACCAACCAGACGTTGCTTGAGAGGATAGTCCAGCCAGTTTCTTGTTAATCGGCCCCAGTCAACCAGCCGACGGCAATCTCTTGTTGGAATATCATTGTCGATCGATCCGTACGGAATAGAGATTTCCTCAGTCGTGCCTCCGGAGTGTACTGCGGTGAACTGGTACTCACACGGTACTCACAAGACACCAAACCTCTGTTCCGAAAGCAGGTCGAGCCTCACGCGATCAAGGTCACCTCACTTTTTCGATCGATTCGCAAACTCCGAAGCCTCCGTACGAAAGATACCTTATCACGAGTTGTCTATAGGTGTAACTCGCAACACCACGAGAGCACCTTTCGACTGTTTCGAAGGAATCCAAGGGCATCATTGTGTCAAGCAGCCTCTACTTAGTCATTGACCAACAGTGCAAGACCTGAAGTCATCACCTGGATTTTTCGTGGCAGTTCTCCTGCAACACCTCTACACCACACTCAGCCAGCACAACAAGCAGACATCATGGGCACTAGTAGAAGCCAGAGGAGGAAGAAGCAGCAGCAGCGGCGCCAACAGCAACAGCTGCAACAGCAGCAACAGCAACAGACACCACCACAGGATGTGGCAACACTGTCGGCAACAACTACACCACCGGTGCCACCACCACCACCACCACCACCACCACCGGCAACACTACCAAGTAGCGGTAAACCACCACCATCCACCCCTGTCAAGTCACCAGTGGACCCCCCTTCAGTTCACCGGCTACATGTGGTTCCCCCACCATCCTATCAACCCAGTGAACCATCTGTTGTATCCTCCAACCTTGCCAACCATGATACCACCATGATCAGCCAACAGCTTGCACAACTGGTGGAAGCATTGCAACAACAGAAGGAGGAGACCAAGGAACGTCAGGCTGCTTTTGAGG